CCCTTAGTGAAAGAACTTCGACTGGCAGATTCCAGAAGGCGGGCCTTCTCTGCGGTAGCCCCTGCTCTTTGGAACATCCTGCCCCTGGAGGTGCAATTAGTCCCACACTCCTGGCCTTCTATAAGGCTTTGAAGACCTGGTTCTGCCACCTGGCCTGGGGTGGGGTGAAAATACAAGCATGGGGATGGCTAACCCCATAGGGGCCTCTGCCTTCAATCTCAGGTTTTTCATCCTCTTGGTCTCTCCTTCTTCTTTTTAGTAATGTTTTAATTTAAGGCTTTATGTGTTTATATGTTCTAATATTTATTGTGAATCGCCCAGAGTTCCCCCATTGGGGGGAGATGGGCGGCTGAAAAATAAAATAAATAAATAAATAAATAATCAATCAATCAATCAATCCAGGTTTTCAAAACCTAAGTAATACCCAGACCATCTTACAGGAGATTTGGGTTCAGTCTGGTGGTGTATTTTAGGAAGTAAATTCTCCTTTGTCCCATGATTTCAGGACATCTGCCATTTGTCTTTAAACTTGACTGATAGCCTCTATATGCCAAGAGTGAGGAATTTAAGTTTTTAATTGACAAAACTGGATGGCCAGGTTATCATAAGACAGTTGACCCAGTTTGCTGCTACCACACAATAAATGATTTATTCAGTGCAGCAGCAGCAGGGAATCAGCAAGATGTAAAGCTGCTCCAGTTTAATTGGGAATAATTATATTTGCCAATATTCCAGCTTTGCTGAAGCTAGTATGGAAAAATTTTAAATACTGTTTATAAATATGTTTAGTTATACTACTGTAGTCTATTTGAATTTCTATATCCTACATATAATTTGTTTGTAACTTAGCCAGTGTATTTTGAACAATCCCAAAGAATTTATGCCTCTCATTATCATTACTTTTCTGGAGAAAAATACAAGGTCAATTTATAAAATAAGGATTTAGAGACCTGGCACCATTATATATATAAAATTCTGCATTCTGAAGGATGCTGCTGCAGTATGTTCCTGTATATCTCTGTCTCCTCCTTCAAAATGCAGGGTTTTATATATCATCTCCAGTTGTTGGCATTTCTTGAGAGAGTTTTCCACCACATTTCTCAGCTGCCCACTTTTTAAAACTACACCAAAAATACAGACTGGAATAATGATGGGACAGATTGGGGGAGATCTGTATTCCCCCCACCTTTCTACATGTTCCCTGTATGTGCTCAGAGAAGTATGAAAATAAATCAAAATAGCAGAACAGAATTCCTAGAGAAGTCCTATTTTTGTGGGCTGCTCTGTAGTTTTTGTATTGTGTCTGGACCAAGAACATAACCATAGGTTAACCCCCTCTTCCATGTTTGTCCAACATAGCTCACTGGGATTCAGTTGTTTTAAGCTGAGCTAACTCTCTCCTGTCCAGTTCCATCAATTTTTGTGTTTACACAAGGTGCTAACCCTATTCTAGACCCAGTGAAGCATGTCATGAGGAGGAGGCCAGTGCATTCTATAATACAGGCAAACAGCATATAAGATTTGAAGAAGGCATTCAGCATTCTATTTTTGTTTCTTTTTTTGTTTTTAAAGAATGGAAATCTGAAATATCAGAAAGCCAATGTCACTGTTGAGAACTCTTGTAATATCAGGGGTGGTCAAGAAAAAGTTATGCTCTCGACCGGCTAAATTGTACATGTACAGTGTAAAGAATGCTAGTATAATCTTCTGATTAGCATAACTGAGAAGTTATGGACAGTGGTAACATCCATCACACATGGTTCAGGAAGGAAGAAAGGAGGTATCTTATGTCCATTCAAGTAAAGCCCTTCACAATCTGAAGAGATCAGTATTCCAGATAGCCTGGAGGAACTACCTGGGGAAAAAAGATGTATTTCCCACCTTTCCCCATGATAAACTAAGAAGCTAGATTCCAGACAGCATACTGCTTAGATGAACAAAACAGTACTACCTCATATAAACACATACTTTCTCTTCCTTACTTTTGACCCGTTTCTGTAGCAGAGCTGAAGAACTGCCATTATCACCCTCTTCATCACTTTCTGCCACAAACTTTCGGAAGCTGCACCAGAGACAAAGGTAGGTTTAACATAACAACAAGGATCTTTGGAGATTAAAAGTTGATACCACAACACAGCACATGGTCACAAAGCTATAAAATTACAATAATTAAGTTCAAACAATTAGTAAGCCACAGTACTTTTAGCCGTGGCCTATCAATTAAGCAACAACTGACTGAATTCATCAAACCCAATAATCCAGAACTACAGTTTCCTATTGACAACTAGGTTCACAGAAGCAATACCAGGCAAAGCACATTTTGGTTTAATGGAATGTTCAGATCCAACCAAAGAGAGGTTCTCTGCTCCAAGCGACCCCAGCAAGATACCAACAATACCTCAATTGCCACCAAATACTCCGCTTATGCACACAGCTCCGGAAAAATAAAAACCAAGGTTCAAAGTGAAACTGAGATAAACCCCAAAATCTGTCAATACTCAACCTTGGGAGATGTGCAATAAAAGATGAGAGACAGGTATACCTTACCCCCCCCCCCAATGCCTATGAAGGAACAGGGTTCCAAGATGATTTAGTCCCAAATCAAACCTTTTATAGAGGTTTACCATTAAACCCACCCAAGTTGTTTCTACCGAGTTCCTGGCTCCCAGCTAACTAATAACCACAATGAATTCTTGCCTCACCTCTCCTTCAGCTCCTTCTGTTCTTCTACATAAGTCTGGGAAATGGAGAGAGGGAAAAAGATTAACCCAGTAACTTTACATGCTTCTAGGATAGTTTATGAGGGGACCCAGACTTTAAATTGATACCGGCTCCCTGAAACCCCTTCCAGACTCACTGGTTGGCTTTTAACTGTTACTTCTTCATCCTCTTCATCCTCATATTTGCTACAGAAAAAAGAAAGATAATGAGTCAATCAGTCCCTGCTCACAAACGCTCCAAATGAAAAGAAACCAATTTACCTGAAACCTGAAACTTAGTCTTGTGATACTTCAAAACCTTTAGACCTTTACTTTAGACCTGCTTCAAAACAGGTCTAAAAGACAAGAATTTTCTCAGAGAGAAACAAGCTGCTCATACATTTATCCTACTGGCTAGTCTGATATAAACTTACTAAGAGCTACCAAGTGAAGTGCCCACATACTCTTTCAATTCCAGGTGTAGAAATGTAGCATGGGGAATCTAGGTTCTCTATACTGCAAAAAGCAAGTGTCGCTATATGAATAGTAAATATATATATGGACATTTGGTGGATTTAGTGAATTTTGCAATTTCATCATTCAAGAGCTGAATTAGAAATATAATTGCTCCAGATTTGCTAATAATACCTCATTGAACAGTTTTGTATATCCTGAACAAAAATTCTGATAAGGCATTCTAATTAAGAAACATAGATTTGTAAGGGTTGGAGAGTACCTCAGGGATCATCTAGCCCAACCATCTACCCAATACAGTTCTGGAAGAGAGTCAACCACCTCCCAAGGCAGTCTGTACCATCATTGAACTGCTCATATCTTTGGAAAATTCTTTCAGTCAAAAGTCACTGTTTTGTCATTTCAACCAATTTTTTAATCCTGTTTTCTGGAATGACTCCAAGCAATTCTGCTCTGCCTTCTACAAGACCACCTTTCAGATACTTGAAGAGAGCTATCACAACTCCCTACAGACTTCCTTTCTCCAGAGTAAGCACACTTAGTGCCTCCAACCTCTCCTCATAAGTTCTTTCCAGGACCTTTATCATCAGTTTTGTCAATCTTCTTTATAAATGCAGTGCCAAGAACTGGACACAGGATTTTAGCTACAGTCTGACCAATGGAGAATAAAGAGGGATGAGAGTTGATGTTTTACTTCTGTTGATGCAGAATACTCAGCCTTGGGAGATGTGCAATAAAAGATGAGGGATAGGCTCATGAAAAGAGTAAACTGCATTTATTCTTTTTACAGCAACATCACACTGTGGATTCTTGTTCAATTTGTGATCCACCAAGATACATATGGTACCCAGTGTAGTCCCCCCACTCCCCTGCTGCCATTCATTTTAGATTTTTCCTACTAAATATACATCTTTGGATTTGTGCTTGTAACTCACTTAGCGGGGGACAGGCCTTTTTACTTTGGGTGTGACTAATTCAAAAACGTCCATAGAATCCACCTCTAATATATTGTTTAAGAGTACTAGAGAGAGTAGGATGGTGTATTGTGTACCAATGCAATCCTGTACCAGGAAAAAGAAAAAAGGGAAGTACTTGATTCAGGCTCATTCCCAAACCATTGCCATCAAATATCCCAATGGCAGCCTTTTGGATGCATGGCAAGAAAACTGCTGATGTATAACCACTACCCTTACAAGCACATCTCAGTGTCACCCAATACCTCTTTTTGTATGGTTGTGTATGGCAGTGCTATTGTGAATAACTGACTCATTTTGATTTTGTTTAATTCTCATTCTCATCTCGGTTCTCCTCAGTTCGATTATCCAAATTGCCATTCTTCTTTCCTTTCCTGTCCTTTCACAATGTATTTAAAATTATTTTATTTGAATATTTCAATTAACTAAGGTTTTGCTCCCTTGTTCACTTATCTCTCATTACTTTTCTACCCTGTTCAATAAATGTAAATATACTGTTGCATATCTCTTTTCCATATCTTTTGTCTTTATAAATAAGCACTCTTTACTGCTACTTTATAAACAAGACTTCCCCATTTCAGTTTGACCATACTGATAAATGTGTGTGCATATCCATGCCTATGTATTAGGCAATGCTGCCAGAGAGAGGAGGTTAGGGAACATGGATGCCAGTCAAATTGTGCTGGTTGAAAGTGCTCCTATAGTTAAGGTAACGTAGTGTGATTTGAAAACTTTACATCAACTTTATGAAATTGGGAAGACTACATAAGGACTCCCATAATAATCTAAATTTCTTGCAAATATATCACATCCTTATTTTTTTTAAAGTCATCATTTTGATATTTATATTTTTTCCTTTTGCTAGATAATGGAAGTTTAATAGAGTAAGGAGTCAGTCAGTATGGGCAACCCACAGACAAACACAAGTTGTGCTGGGCTAGATTATGAACCAAGGAACTGGCTGCAAAGCAAGTCAGGCATTCATTATACAATCTAATTACTACTGCATATTTTGTACAAAATGCACTCAGGTACTAGAGTATCATAACGTATCAATGAATAATTAAATATTACATGCCAAAGAAATGACATCAAGAAAAATTAGCAGATAGCTTTCAGAAAACCTGTTTCACAATAAAAATAATGGCAACAAGCCTGTTTTAAAAATAGCTTGTTCAGCACTAATGATCTTCCTCTCCAGTGGAAGACCATAAACAAAAGGTATGGATAAGTTCTTTGCTCACAATGGGAGATGAGAAGACTTAGCAGAATCTCAAGTGGGCCGAGTCACTGAAGCATATCCACAAATCTTCTGCAAAGTTTTAAGGCTTCAATCATCTGGAGACTTTTTCATCTTTTTTTTCACATTCTAAACAAAACAAGGGAAACCAAACTATTTTTCATTCCAGCCCTAATAAATACTGCTAAAAAAATTATCTGAAGGGAAGAATCTGATTAAAATCTTCCCTGGATGCGCTCTAAGGCCGAGGGTGATCCAGTTGCACTTGCAGTAGTTACAAGATTTCTATAGGCAAAAAACAGAGATCAACTGTAGACAACCCTCTTAACAAGAGGGAGATTATCATACTGAACTTTGAAAGCAACTGGTGTTTTTCTAAAGTACCACACAAAGTCAAGGATGTTCTTTTTGCCAGTCTAAAGCATAGCAAACAAATGGATTCTTGTTTTAAACATCAAAAGCAAGATGTAAGACAATCTTCAGTTCTTCCCAAAGTTCCAGTTGTCCTCAGTTGTGCTGTACTTCCAAGACACTCTCAATTACAAATAGATCTCACTTACCAATTGCCTCATGCAGCGATCATTCAAAGTTACGACAGTGCTGAAAAAATAACTTTGCGACCAAGGCATGCATTTGGAGCATCTCTTTGCAGCATCTCTGTCACATGTTCACCATTACAGTCAGTTAGTACATACTGTCCTGTGCCCAATCGTTTTTTTTTCTTTTTCCCTCCCTCACAGAGCAGAGATTGCTTAAACAGGAGATCTCTTTCTGAGCTGCTTTTCTCCACAGCACAGCGCTTCTCCAAAAGGTGCTAATCCCGAATTAACAAACTCAGCTCTGTGAGAGCTTGCAGCTGCTGCCTACAAAGACAAGATTTTGATCATTTTCACATCTTCCTCAGGGCATGAGTGCACTAAGCAAACAGCCAGTGCTAGCGCATTCCTTTCAATGCATATTCCCCACTGAGTACCTACTTACTCTCTTGTAATCCCTTTCTCTCCAGTGAATGTTTGTAAATATGAACATTAATTCTCTTTTTGCTAATTATCCCAGTGCCAGGGTGAACATTCCAAAGGACAAGAGAGTGGGGAAAAAGGAAAGCTGAAGTAAAATCGTAAGCACAGTCACAATCACATGATTTTCCACTTAGTGACCAAGTTGCTGGTCCCAACTGTGGTCACTAAACAAGGACTACCTGTATCATTTAAAAATTACTTCTATGGACATCCTTTATGAGGATAAAGGTCCAAATACAGATCTTCTGTGTTTTGTCAATGACTTGATAAACCTCAGAAAGTAAAGTATAACGCGTATCTAACAGTACCCCAATTACACTCTCTCCTCAAAAGCAAAGATAAAAAAAAAAAGTCGCCCCTTGAGTGAGATGGGTGGTGACTAAATTTGCAATATAAATAAACCTTCAGGGCTCAACATCTCTAGGCTAAACATTGCTTATGAAGTAGTCCAACTTTCCATGCCTTACCCTGCCTTCTCCACTATAATTCTTCTCTCATAGTCCTTAAGAAACATGGGCTTTTCTTTCTTCTTCGCTAAAATCTTCTTACGAACACCAGCTGAGCAAGAATCTGAGAAGAGAACCAAGCATAACTGATCACCTGACAATTCCTAAGAAAGTTAAAATATCATTACCGAGTCCAAATCGTGAAATATGTCTTTATATTCTAGGCAAGGCTGCTGGACTCAAGTCAAAAATCTGTAAACAGTACTCACCCTCCTCAGCGTAGAAGGTGATATCCTTTTGATAAATTCGGGGATCCTTTGTTTTTAATAAGCCTAACATGGAATAAAAAGCACGATCCAGTTCGGGGTCAAGTTCCTACCATGGAAGGAAAGAACCACCAAAGGTGGATATTAGCATTACAAAAAATATATATATAGTTGCTCTGTGGTACTATTTTCCAATTTGTCCCAGCAAAGACAAAGCCCCAAAAGGATAGACAGCAGAAAGCTCTAGCCTGCCCTTTGGAATAGAGCTCCTTATGAAGTCTGGCCTTGCTGTCCTTCAAGAGAGTCCTGAAGACATGGCCCCCTCCCCAGGAAAAAGATTTATGCAGGGCTCAGAATCCTCCCTGCCCGTCTTTTATTAGTGATTTTAGTGTATTGCTTTTGCTTTTAATCCTTGGAAGCCACCCAGAATCCTCACCGAGTGGAAGAAATTAGAAATAAATTCAGAAATAATTTAGAAATTTAAATTATAAGTAATACTCTTCCTAGGAAGGAAGTAAAAACAGCAGCCCCTGGCAGCAAACCTCAGAGCTCCCCGGGGAGTGCAACGTTTTACTTGCAGCCAGAAACGGCCCCCGAGCCCCACGCCAGCCATCCCTCCAGATGCTCTGGAATTTCAGCTCTCAGAGTAGCAAGGGAACCAACACCCGTCAGCAACCCGAGTCTCCCGGGTTAACGGAAATGAGGCCTTCTTGTCACTCTCCGTCTGCTCCTCAGCTTGGAGGCCTACCCACCTCCTCTTCGCTTGACTCCGACTCGGAACTCGAGGCTTCCTCCTCTTCCCCATATTTGTCCTGAACTGCGGGAGCAAGAAACCAGGCATGACGTGAAGACAGCGCTAAAGGCGGCACTCGCCGCAACCAACCCACCAAAGCCCAAACCCGGCCACATTGTCTTCCACTCACGCCGCTGCAGCTCCTCGCGACGCCGGTACTTCCCATAACGCGCTGCAAAAGCCGCGTTGACCCGCAATGCCGGCTGGGCAGGCATCGCGTCGCCACTCAGCCCCTCCGCGCTGGAGCAGGTTCACTTCCTGGTCACTCAGCACGGAAAGAGATGAGCTCTCCCTCCCCCGTCCTCACCCGCGGAAGTAATTGGAGGGCACCGCCTTCTCCTCTTCTCAGTCGCCGGGAAGCTGTCAATCAGCGGGTATTTCCACAGGAGTGGGTGCTTTTTGGAGGCGGGGCCAATAGGCTACCGCAGAATTTGCACAATATAAACGTAGCTGGGAGGGTGCGGGGATGGCGTTGGGGTAGCTGTTTTCAAGCAACGCAGAATCCAGAAGCCGGATGGCATCTTAAAAATGTAAACGCATCATTGCTTAACGGCTTCTAGATTGAACACATCAAGCACTATTTTAGAGATGGTGATGTCAAATGATGATGAAATGCAAAAAGGATTTTACATTTTTCATTCCATCAGTGTTTAATGTTTTTCTTCTATACCTATGTGTAGAAGAATGCATACACACATGCACGCACCAAGGATGAACCTTTGCAGGTCTGATGGCCTATTTATTTATGTATAAATCAAATTTATATGCTGCCCTACTCATAAAAACCCTGGGCTGCAGAATGCAATTGCACCCCAGGAAACCACCAAAAGGCAGGAGTGGGAAAGCTGTCACCCTCCAAAAGCTGATCTACAACTCTCAGGAACTTCAGCAAGCAAGAATAATAATGAGGGATACCGGGACTGTATTCACACAACCCACTGGCCCATGTGAGCTTACTCAAACCTGATGGCATGACATAGAATAACATAAATAAATGTAAATTAATAATATAAATAAAATAACACAACAGATGTAACTATAAACTGACCACATGGGTTTGTACAATCTGCAAGGCTGAAATGTGGTTGAAGCCCAGTTTCCTGATCTCAGAGAGCATTTATTTCAGGTTCAGATTATATAACGCATGTCAGTGCACATGTTCATTCACTAGATTTTACAGGTTAGCAATAAACTCATTTTCCTCTTTTTTTATATATATAGTTTAACTGAAAAAATCTGGCAAACCTGAAAAATTGCTCACTATTTTAGGCACTAATTTATGTGTATTTATTCCTAAGCATCCTAATTGAATTAAGTGGTAATTATTTCTATATAAGTATGCACAGACTTATAATCTTGGTAATTCACTGTTGTTTATTTGTTTATTCATTTATCTAATGAAATGACAAGGCTGCTTCAATTTTTTGGTGGTTACCAACTATGCTTGGGTTCAACTGCCTGCTAAACTATAATGTGTTTTATTTGATTTTGGCATAGCATGATGTGCAAATTCAGCTATTATGACATGCAACCAATTTACAGAGAGAGTTTATTGAATAAAACAATAAAGAAGAGCCCAGCTCTTCAGTAGTGATTGTTGCCAAGCTGAAGGTGCCTAAAAGCAGGGATAGTAACCTGAAGCCTTCCGAATTATGTTAAATTCTACCATCCCTGACCATTGGCGATATAGGTTGAAATCCATCATTTGGAAAATCACAGGTTTTCCTCCTAGTTAAAGGTTAAGTAATCCTAACTGAATTGCTGTATCCATACAACATGCCAACCCATGGTAAGTGAACTATGATTTACTAACATATAATCCAATTGCCTGGATTCATACTGGGTAAAAAAGCCTAGCCAACTGTGTTTTATCTTAGCATGTTATGCAAAGCCAGCCCATGTGGTTAGTTTAAAGTTTAGTGTATTGTGTGGATCCATAACATTGAATTAAATAAGCCATGGTTAAATTACTTGTGGTAAACATGTTGTAGGAACATAGCCATTCTTTCAGAAACTAAACATACATCCCCTTAGGAAAGAAGTGACTTGCTTCTTACAAACAAGATTTTTTTATGTTCTCTACTCTCAGCTGTTTGTGGTTTCCTGGCAGATGCTGGGCATTTGGCAAGGAGTCAAAGAAACAAGTTGCAAAACAGGCTCAGCTGTTTAAGGTTTCATTTTTAAAATCGCTCTATCTCCTCCTCGCTTACGTCTGTGGCTGCACCCAGCCTGCCCCTGTCCCCTACAATGCTTGACAAGAAGGCAGACAGCTGGTGTTACAAAATGTTTGGCTTCCTTCCTTTTCTGTATCACTGAGGGCCACACCTAGCAGCTGGGACATTATTCTGGGCGATAAAGCTCAACTCTCTAGGCCACAGGTTCCTTTCATAGCTTTCTGTCCAGCATCAAGCTAGCCCTGCTGGGCTATTTTGGTGCCTTGGCACTGCAAGGGCTAAACTGGACACAAGAACCCAGTACAATTCCAGCAGAGATTGAAAAGGTAAAGCCTCTTCCTCCCAACCAACCATCAAGGACAAGCAGGAAATCTGGGTTATGGTTTCCATGAGCTATACAGTAGCAATCTTTACAGATAAGAAACTTCAAAAAGTACTATTGGGGCTATGGGAACAGAACTCCCTCCTCTAGACTTGCTGGGGATTCACCAGGGCTTGCAATTATGACGTATGTTTTGGGCAGAGAGTTCTATATCAACTAGAACACCCTTCCTGGAGAAAGTAGTTTTTGAATCAGGTGATACCCAGTGCAGCTTTCACTTCTCTTTTCACCCTAGAGACAAGACACAAAGGTCTTCTTGACTTCCAACAGGTATATTTTGCATAGTCAGAATCTAGCTTTTTCTTTCCCTACCTTGTCAGAGTAATTTCAAGTTATCAATTTTACTTCTATGTCTATCTGTAATGACCCTACTTTGTTTGAGGACCTGTTTAAATATAAGTTATCCAAAATAGCAAACTCTAGCATCAGTCTGATTTTGTATTGCTGCACATATTCAAGGAATGTAAAGTGCAACCAAAAACTTTAAATTACCTCTTCACAAAGGGCTGGGACAGGGTATTCCTGCAAAATTGCCTGACTTCTACAGTAGTAAGAGTTACAAAATGTTCCAAGCTAGGGATGTGGCAACCTATGGCCATCTAGATATTGATGCACTACAACTCTCAATAGCCTAGCTGTTATGGTCAACCCAGCCAGCCACATTTGGTGAATGTCAGGTTTAATTTTTAGATTTTTTTTATCCCGCTTTTCTTATTTTTATAAATAACTCAAGGTGGCAAACATACCTAATGCTCCTTCCTTCTATTTTCCCCACAACCACCACCCTGGTAGGTGAGTTGGGCTGAGAGAGAATGACTGGCCCAAGGTCACCCAGCCAGCTTTCATGCCTAAGGTGGAACTAGAACTGTCTCCTGCTTTCTAGCCTGATGCCTTAACCACTAGACCAAACTGGCTCTTTTTTCTTTGCTCATATTGAAGTGAGACAAGAGATAATTGAGGGAAACAGACTTGAATTGCTGCTAATAAAGAGAAGGGTAGCACAGCTAGCAGGAAAAATTCAGGTATTTTTAAGGAATATGAAAGAATATGTTTACCCTCTTCCCTTCCAGCAAGTATTTTCAATAACCCTATTAACCAGCCTTTTTTAAAAGTACCTTTGAGTCAGTCTTGATTCCTGGTATCGACATGGACAAGTCCCTGCAGTGTTCTTGGCAACATTTTCAGAAGTGGTTTGCCCTTGTTTTCTTCCCAGGGCTGAGAGTGACTGGCCCAAACTCATCCAGTGGGCTCCTTGCCTAAGGCAGGACTAGAACTCATGATTTCAGAGTTTCTAGCCTGGAGCCTTTAACCATTTCACCAAACTGGCTATCATTAATTGGCCAAACGTTTCTAATATCCTCCAAAAATATTCAGCCAAAAAGGGAGAGAGAAACATGTTTGTCCCCTCTGACCCCCATTTGAAGCTATTCTGATTTATCTGTCCTGATGAGGGGAAAAAACAAGATATGGATTGCTACTTGAGCTGACTTACTTCAAGTCCTTCTTTAGCTGCAAACCCCATTTGGCAAGGTCATTTATATGCAGACCAACCTCCTCAGAAGCTTATTAAGAAGTAAAAAAAAACCTAATCCCATAAACATAGGCCCAGGCTCCTGGGTGGATGCAAAAAGAGGAATATTAAGGTCCTCAAAATTCTTGCTGCCAGATCTCATGGCCACTAAATTTTGTCCATAGACAAACCTTTTCTAATATTGCAATATGAAATATCATTAGAAGGGACTTAATTTTAACTATGGAAGAGGATTCCAACATTTAGAAGTGTGTTCTTGAGAATTATATGTAGGAAGGATTCTGATTCCATAGTACTCAATGGTGCTGATGGTAAGAAGTATCAGAGCATAGAGATCTTCAAAGTTGGTAAGGCTTCCAGGGCTGTGATATGAAACAGCCCCCTTCCATTTACAGTATAGAGAAGTGATTAACATTTTTCCCCCACAGGCTTTTGAGATTCAAGTTTTATTAATGGGTACTCAGCAAGAGCCCATAATGAAGAGGTCAGGAATGGGCCCTTTGAAAGCAAATAGAAGACTTTCTCCTCAGAATGTTTCCCAAGATCCTATGTCAATAAGTCACAAGTAGATTTAATGTTTTTAATAATTAAATTAGTCATTCCATAAAACACACCCTTGCAAATCACAATAAATAGAATACATTTCACCTCCTTTAAAATCTACTATATACATTGCTTAGATCCACAAATTCATTACAGGGAACAAGCCTTCAAAACAAGCCTTAAACACTTTAGCCAAAGATAAAAGATTCAGCACACTTTAGAAGTGCATAAAAGGCACGGATAACTACCAAAATGCCAAGATGGAAACAGCTACTAATGGCTCAGGAATCACAAGATCTCCTGAGATAGAAACTAGGAAGATCACAAAATGGGTGAAAACCTTAACAAAAATAGAGTTAGACTCCTGTACTATTAGACCTTATGGAGTTCTGGATCCTGTATTTGGCAGAGAAGTAGGGACGAATGTCCTGTCCACAAAAATAAGAATAAAATCTTAGTAATGTCTTCCATTCAAGGTTAGTTTTCTGCCACCCACCATTTATTTACTGCTGGTGTTATAGTATGATAATCACCATGATAACCCTTGTTAGGAACCTAGTGCAATGCATCAGAGAATTGCTAGATCTTCCACATGTACATTGAACAGAAGAGGGATGCAGAATTGTAGCCCTGAAGGGAAAACACCAAGGGTCACAAGCCCGCTGAAATTCTGGGGGAGGTGTGAGAATGGAAGGTGGTCCCAGCCTAGCAGCAAATGCATGCTTTGCATCAAAAAGACCCCAATCTGTTCAACCTGAATGCTATCCACCAATGCTGCTTCTAATGCTTGGGACCATCCCAAGGGAAGAAATTCAAGAGGGTGGTGACTAGAGAAGGTTAAGCAGAAATGCTGCAGCACAAGAGTCACATGGCTCCCAAGGGACTGGCAGATTTGGAAAAAGCTGGAAATCAGGAGTACAGAGGAGAACTCAATACAATATGTATAAATAGAAACAAATAATTCAACACACGCTTTGAGGTAGGGCAGGAGAAGCTGCCTTTGTTCCAGGGCTCTGGGGGAAAAAGGACAGTCTGGGGGAAAAGAGGTCTAGCAGGCAGTGGGGAGTTAGCGTGGCCCAGATCAGAGGGCCCTTCCTGAAGTTAAGCTGGGACAGAGAGGTGCTGCTCAAGGATGCCCTGGATGTGTGAAAGCCCCAGGTGCTGTGCTAGCTCCAGTGGTGTCTTCCCCTTGGAGTCCTTGTGCTGCAGTTGGGACTGAGGTGCCAGGAAACATACCACATCCGTGTGACCTTCCCGAATAGCAACATGGATGGGCAGTGAGCCAGAAGCATCTGGGACATTGACATCTGCACCGTGCTCCACCAAGATTTTCAAGGTGTCGAGAAAGCCAGTGCGGGCAGCATCGTGGGCAGGTGTTGTGCCCGACCCATCTTGGATGTTAGGGTTGGCCCCTTGCTTCAGCAGTTCTTCAGCCACAAAGATGTTACCAAACATCATTACCTATGGGAAGATGAAGGACAAGAGAGGGTGCAGCAGGGGATACTGGCAGCCTAAGCTCCACCCAGTAAGTGGGCAGGCAACCCTTAACCCCATTTGCTGATTGTGGGGAGCAATAGGGAAGGCTACCTTCTACTGAATATGGCCGTGTTTGTACAACATACTGAGACACAAACCAAATAACTGCAGTTTATTTTAGTGTTGCGTAATTAGTATATGATTTAATGACTTGGGCAAACCCAGAAAGTTGAGTTAATTGAATAAGCAATTATTAAGTTAATCGTAACTTGTGCAGTGCTAATAGAGCCAGAATAATTATATTCGTGATTCTAGACAGAGATTCACAAATTCCATAATTCTGCCTTTCTAAAGCCAGCCTCGCTATCTGTGGTAAAAGGAAATGGACAGGCAGGCAAGATGAAACAAAAAAGTGGGGTCGGCTGAAGAGCCGTCCTTCGGCTCAGGCAGATCTTCCAGTAATTGCATGAGCGAGACAGGGTATACCTCTTTTCTCCAAACTAGCTGTAAACAAGCCACCTCATGCCCCTTAAACGACCCCACTTGGCTTGAACCCAACAGGAAGCCGCTCTAGCCTGTTTGGTCTGTGCCTGCATGCAATTTATTTAAAACACAGTGATTATGTTTAAGTACAGCTGCTCCACATAGATGGAAAGGATGGAAAAGACTATGAAAATAAGGTGAGGGGCCCTTAACACAAGGCCACAGCCAATCAACTATCAGGCGGCAATCTAGCCCCAAGTTTTGGTTGAGGGAGATGTCCTTGAAAAAGGGGGTCCCATCTGGCAAAAGCCAGCTTTTCCCAGAGGTCTCGGACCGATGGGAGTGAACCGAGGCTAGGGAGCCCTGCAGACGCTGAGCCTCTCCTATCTTGGAACTCTGCCTCTTAACCGAGGCCTCCGGTGTCTCCGGGAGACACTGTTTTCCCTCCGGGAAAGAGGGGCCGTGGGCTGCCTCGCCTACCTGCAGCGCGGTCTTGCCAAAGCGGTTATGGGAGTCGGGATGCACCAGCTCCAGATGCAAGAGGTGTCGGACTTCAGCTACATCCCCCCGGGCAGCAGCCCCGGTTAGCCGGTCCCCGGCACGGATCTCGGCGTTCCCCGGCTGCATGCCCGCACAGGCACCTGCAGGGAAGAAGGACAGGCCAAAATGAGCGAACCGACCACCAGCCGAGCAGGATTCCTGCGCTGCCACAAGCAGCCTTCTTTTGCAAGGAGACGTTTTGGCACTGAAGCTCGCGCTGAAGTCCTCCTGCCCCACGGCCGGCCGGCCGGGCTGCCCGCCCGTCCTGCTTGGAAGCGGCCGCCAGTTCCACGCTGAGAGGAAAGCATTCTGTACATGCGTAGATGCCCCGCATCGCATTTCATCCTTGACGCTTGCCAACAGGCC